GCAATTGTGGCGACCCCCCCCACATCTTTTATTATCATTATTATTGCATAATCTGGAAGAGAAACTATTAAGTTACTCTCCAGAAGAGGCCTCTGAATGGGCAAAGATTAATAATAAATTCTTTTTTGGATATGTTAGTGAAATTGGCTGATCTGAAAACAAATATAAAAGCAAATCTTATTCACCTGGCTGCTAACGAAATGCTGCAAATGGAATTCCATTTAGAACCAATTGACGTCTTCTGGATTAAGAGAAAGAGGAATATCCAGAGCTACAAAATGAAGCGTTGAAATTGTTAGTACCATTTGCCACATCGTAGCTAACATTCTTTACAATGGTAAACATTAAAAATAAGAAAAGAAATAGACTCCAATTAGATAACGATTTGATTGTTTGCGTTGCAAACATTGAACCACGTTTTGAAAAAATATTGAAAAATAAACAGGTATAGCCTTCTCACTGATTTTGATTTTCATTTTATTGCAGTGGGGAGTGGAAAACCTACAACCGTTGTTCTGTACCTTTATCTCCCTTTCGGTCCGCGACCCCCCAAGTAAGGCTTCGCGACCCCCCTGGGGGTCGCGACCCACAGATTGAAAATCACTGGTCTAAATAAACCAAACATGTTTTCCATGTAACCCTCTTAATACCATCTCCATCAGCCTTCCAAAAGTAACCGGAGCGTTACATAGTCCAAAAGGCATTACGGTAAATTGATACGCGGTCGTTTCCTTATCTTCTGGATGAATACCATCTTGCCAGTAGCCGATTTTTAGGTCTAACGTGGAAAACCAGGCGGATCCTGATAGAGTTGTGAGCGTGTCATCAATTCGTGGAAGTGGGTAACTATCCTTCTTGGTTACATCGTTTAATTTCCTGTAGTCTAAGCAGAATCTCGTCAATCCGTCTTTTTTGGTGACTAGCACTACGGGCGAAGACCATGGACTATTTGACTCCTCTATGACGCCTTCGTCTAACATTTTTCGTACAAGTTCCTCGGTTTCCTGTTGTTTCGCCAAAGGTAGTCTTCGCGGTGCTTGACGGATCGATTGCGCGTCTTCAGTGTTTATCCGATGTTGCACTGTTTGTGCGCCCAGAGGACCGCCCAGATGCAAACATTTCACTGTGTTTCTGTAGAAACTCTCTTGCTGCTTTCCGCTGACGTTCGGTTAGATGACCAAGCTCTAGGGCAGGAATTTCTAAGTTTCTTTTTATTCCTTCATGACTGTTACCAGAAAGATCTTCGTTGTGATGAATTATCTTCGTGACTGGTTAACAGACGCCAAGAACCTCCCCACTCTTGATGTTCATGCCTTTGGGGAAAACATTTGCGACGCGTACAGGTATGTCACAATCGGTATTAATTAAAGCACTCGCAATCATGAGGTTTTTTTTGGGTGTGTGCGGTGCTTCAATAATGCCGAGGGCAAATTCGGGTTTGATTTCTGCTCTAACTGGAACCATCGTCTCTGCATTCCCTCTGACTTTCACATTCTGGCATACGATCAATCTTACAGGCTTGGATTCAATACTGCCTTGATTCAGGATAAACTCTTCATTGCCAAGACGTAGGACTTTCTCCACTGGATCGACCGTCAATCCATGGCGGCTAATCAAATCCATTCCCAGAATGAAGTCATCTTCGATGCCAGCCACGAGAGCGCGATGTCTTATTTTCAGATGACCAATGTAGATTTCTACGTCTACCTGGCCCAAGATTGGGGCCGACTCTCCAGTCACTGTCTTCAATCTGATTGTTTCGGATGAAGTCGCTAGGTCTTTAGCTCTCACGAGTCCTCGACGTATAATTGATACCTCAGCGCCAGTATCGATCGTGATTGCTGCGGGAGTTCCATTAATCTTCCCCGGTATAATTGGACTACTGCTCCGGGTGAAACTTCCTATCTTCACTTCTTTTGGGGCTTTATTCACACCAGCCAGCACATCCCCCAAAATACTGGCTGTTTTTAGTTTTCCTGCACATTTCGACGAGGAGGTCTCTGTTGTGTGTTTCTCTTCGGAGATGGTGAACGAGCACGACAGTCACGTTTAAGATGTCCCTGACGCCCACATCTGTAGCATTCTAGAATTTTCTTCCGAGACGCAACATTCTCTAATCCTCGAGACAGGCCATCCATTTGCTGGGACAATTTTTCCAACAACTTTTCCACCTTGTCATTCTTCTCTTGATCTAGTTCTGCTATTCTGACTTTGTGCCAGGTTCTTGAAGATTTGTACGCCGCCTCCACTTTGAGCGCACGAATCAAGACCTCCGATGATGTCTGGTACCTTGATAGTTGTAAGACCTTCTTAACTTCACCGTCGCAAATGCCATTTACGAGGGTTTCTATCGCAAGCGTCTCCTGAAAAGTTGGTGGTGCGTTGGTATATGCAAGACGTACCAGTCTCTTGACATCTGCTTCAAATTCGTGAAGGGACTCTCCAACTTTCTGAGTTCTTGTCTTCACTTGAGCTGCAATAACCTGTCTTAGATGTTCATCCCCAAATCGAAGTTCTAAGGCAGCAGTTAGGGCACTGTATCTATTCCCAAGGGTGTAGCTTTCTGTTCTTCTTCCCAAAGGTTCGCCGTCGCTGCTGCTTCAAACCGCTTTTTGTACGATGACCAAGGTGTCTGACCATCATAGGTGGGTGGTTGAATCGTTCTGGGGGCCGACGACACATAATACGAACCAGTGGTTGCTGTATTTTTCATTGTCTTTTCAAATGTCTTCATTCTATTTTCTATAGTTTTCATTCGATCTTCCATGTTGTTTTCCATTGCGATCATATTCCGTCCAACAATATTTTCCATATTTTCCAGACTTGTTTTTACGTCCTTCATTTCTTCTCTGATTTCTTCTATTTCATTCTTGTTTGCTTCCACTTCCTTTTGGAATTTTTCACTTAGGCTGGTGATTATGTCATCTTTTTGCTTGTCTATTTTTGCGTCCATCATTTCCATTTTTCCGTTCACTTCTTCTATTGTTGCCTTCATTTTCTCATCTCTTGCATCCATTTTTTGGTTCATTCCTTCCATGCTTGCACCCATTCTTTCCTATTTTGTGTCCATTTTCTCATGCATTTTTTCCATTCTTGCGCCCATTTTCTCGTCCATTTGTGCGAGCATAGCCATCATCTGCTTCACTTGTTCGTCCATTTTCGCGGCTTGAGTTCTAGTCTCGATAGGCATAAATTCGCCAGGGTTCTTGTCCGATCTGCCCGGATATCGCCGTAATAAAACCGGTTATTAATTTCAGATCCCACTTCTGACACCAGTGTTACGTTTGACGGGCGAATAATTAATCGGGCGTAGATAAAAACTCAACAATTTATTTCTTTAACTGGTATTTACACGACTAACTGCGATTACGCACAAAACAACTTCGCAACTTAAATGCACTCCACTCTTGACTGAATAATGAATGAATCATTCCCGACGGTGGCCTCTATTTAAATCCCTATTTCGGTGATCCAGCTCTTTCTCGAATTGGGTATTCGCGACTTCCGCTTCCAGGCTTTTCGAGCGTCGCTTCGAGACTTCATCTGGGTCGTCGCGACATCCGCTTGGATCCACGCGGCCGATGAGTCAGACTACATGCGAGAAGCAACGCGTGTATACTAGAAGACGCATAGGCGTCGTACCGGGGCGGCGTATGGGCTTATTTCGTAACAATACATAATAAATTAATTACAAATATATACATTCCAAGCCATCATCTCGTATCTCTCGTTCAAACTAGATGACGTGCTTAATGAGAGAACCCCCCTCACTTTTTAAATTACCCTTTTCAGCTCCCGAAGCGGCCCTTCATAGTTGCAGGACCTAAGGGGCAATTTTTGATGGCCAAAAATTTCACGAATATCAAAACTCGGACGCTAAATATTGAAGTAACCAAACTATAAGAAAGAACCGTCAAATCCACCACAAAGTGTGAATAATAATATAATAACTCAGATAAAATCTTCCAGTATTTTAGATATATCATTACTAAATGTCTCCAGCTTGAATAAGTGAATTTCCATCAGGTGTCTTACAACACTTCACTTTACTTTAATTTTTTATGAATTTACAAAAATGAAATAAAAAGTGTATAAGTTGACATTGTGTGATAACTCAAACATTTCTCCAAAAATTGACATGTGAACAAAATTGGAAAGCCAGCGAAAATTTTGAAAAAGTGGCCATCAACGGCGATTTTCAACAAGCTAGAACCCTACGTTATGTTTTGAAATGGAGAAATGTGTTCTAATGCAAGTGATGCACCTCAGTGGTGGAAAAGTGATAATTTTATTACTTTTTTCAAAATGCTGTATTCTCCCAACTATAACATTTCCTCGTTCTTTCCAAATGCAAGATTACAAATTTCGATTACGTAAACACAGGTTGTTAAACGAACAGAATTCTCTAGTTTGCAACAATTTATCCAAAGTGAAAAGATGGCGCACACATTATTATGGTGGCGTGTTAGCAGATTTTTGTTTTTTTTGCAGTCAGAAGAAAAAGAGCACGATTTAATTCAACGATTTAAGAGACGTGGAACTAGTAGCGTTAATGGTTCTAGACTCGCCTCTTCACACTAACCACAGCTAAGTACAACCATGCCGCGGTGCCCTCGCAAGCGTCCGCTATGCTTCCTACACTTAAAAGGTGGGTAAATATATGAGCCAAAACGCGAACGAGGCAAGGCGAGGTCGATCTGCGAACGAGGCTTCGATCCAATATGTACGATCTGCTTCGTTCCGAGCAGTGTTCAAGAAAACATGGCCAATGAATTAATAATATTAGTGTCTGCTGCTGCGTTTATTGTTCATATAAAATATTTGTCTTCATGAAAATATCATCCTTTGGTCAAGACCCACCCTGATCAAAGTCTTGCCTGAATGCTTCCAGTAATTTCATAATACAAAGATATACTGTTCTTTAACATTAGAAATAAAAACAAAAACAATAGGAAAAATAATTCAAAACCTATCGCACCAAGAAACGGTACACCAAATAACGTATCATGCAAGCAAACATCTTCTTTCGACGATCAAAGCTCCTAGATAAATTCTAAAAAGAAATGAAAACGCTTCAGAAAATTCAGACATATCTATTTTTCAAGATAGCGTCGGCTAAAAAAACCTACCAGTCAAACTTTGACAGTGACAACACAAAATGTTGACTTGCAAGATAATTTTACGCGCTTTGGGCGTCCATTGGAAGAGTCTCTTCATCATTGTATATCCTTTGCTCATCCTTCCTATCTTTTTGGTGAACAATACTGCAGCAATGAGATGTGTCTACGTGGTAGTTTTGATGGCAGGATATTGGGTGTTTGAAGTTCTGCCATTGGCAGTAACAGCCATGATTCCTTTGGTTCTCTTTCCCACGATGGGTATTTTAGACGCAAAGAAGACATCATTAGCTTACTTCAAAGAAGCAAATATGATGTTCGTGGGAGGGTTAATTATTGCTCTTGCTATTGAGTTTTGTTCTCTTCACACCCGGATCTCACTGCATGCCATTAAATGGGTAAGTTGTTTTTCCTATCCATATGTATATTTGTAAAATAAGTTCGACCCCAATGTTTAATCATAGAGATATTTTTCATATAAACGTCGTAAATGGGAATAATTTATAAGAGTTTAAAAAAATGTTCTAATAAGTTTTAATCATTAAGTAACTAATTGCAACAGTATAAAATTAAGATCTTTTAAATGAAAATTGGAAGTCACTATTATTATCACTTGATAATCAAAAATCCTTTACGTCCTCAACTTAGTAAACTAATTCCTGATTTTTTATGGAAATAGATTGGTTGCAGCTACCGCCGCCTCAATTTCGGACTGATTACTCTCACCATGCTCGTGTCAATGTGGATTTCCAACACTGCAGCCACTGCAATGATGATCCCAATCATCCAAGCCGTTCTCGAGGAGCTCGAAAGTCAAGGGGTAGGAAGCCGATGGGAACCTGACCCTCCAGATATTCCACCAGAAGAAGTCGATCCACTATCTAGACGTCCAACATCTGTGGCTATGTGTTTTTACATAAGCACGGCTTACGCCGCCAGCATAGGCGGCTTAGGTTGCATAGTGGGCAGTGGCACCAACTTAGTACTCAAAGGAATCTACGAATCGGAATTTCCACACTCACCTGGGGTAGAATTCAATAAGTGGTTGGCGGCAAACATCCCCCTCATGTTAGCTATAATGTACCCATCGTGGGTGTGGATGCAGATTTGGTTTATGGGTCTATGCAGACCCAATTCTGCTGATGCTAAAGCCATTAATGTGGGTGCAGAAGGCGAAGAAATTACCAGAAAAGTTTTAATCCAAAAGTTGGTAGAGTTGGGACCTCTGAGCCCGCACGAAATTATGGTTGGGATAATGTTCATAACAGCTGCCATGTTGTGGTTTTTCCGTAGACCAGGGTTTATATCTGGATGGCCCTCTTTGCTCACCGAAACACAGGTAAGAGATAATTATAGGAATCTTTTAGATTACTTATTATATTTTATAAACTATTATGTAAACAAAGTTTGGCAATTAATAAACGTTTTCACCCGAAAACAATGCCGTTAACTCTTACAGAACAGACGTCTCTCAAATTGTCGCTCTGTTTCTGTTATTTTGTCAAATTAAATTTAATTATGCGTTTATTTGTCTTCTTGTTTTTACTAATTTATACATCATGTATCAATAGTGAATGGCTCTTTAATAAAATAACGATCACTAGTTGAATTAATAATTTTTAAAGTTTGGGGCTCCCGGTCGTGGTTGTTCTCCCCCGAGACGGTAATTCTATCTATCGCAAGCCTACCGCACAGCACCCTTCCATGACAAACATGCCATGCTACCCAGGCGGTTAAGCTGACAGCATCATGTCGTCCAGACCGTTCCCCTGACTCTATACAACGCCTGCATCCTAGGAACCACGCCCTCCGCTTCTGCTACGTGTTTCGGTGTTATTTAACCTTAATTCCATTTTAAATGTTCAGTTTCTATGACTCTGATATCAACGACGTGAAATTTTAAACAACAAATAATTCTTATTTGATATTAAGATTATACATCAGATAATTTAAATGATGGAAACATTAATCAACGAGATATACATAAAAAAATACCAGCAAAGATTTATAAAAACAAAAGATCTGATGTGAACTAAATTTGTCCAAATAAAAATATTACATGAGGTTAAAACTACAGGGCATGAAAGTTTACGTTCAATTTAAATTATGCAACTAAGAAAATTACTGAGATTAAAATTGTGAGATAGAGAAAAATTGCATGAGATGAAAATTGCAAAGCTAACAAATTTACATGAGATTAATATTTGCCACACTTCATCAACGATTCAAACAAAGAATTTATATGAGGTTACATTATGCCATCATCCAAGTGATTGGTTACTTAAAGCAAGTAGCTTTGAGAGTTTATAATATCGTGAACTGTTTACCCCAAACAAAACACATAATAAAGAAACACAAAAAATATCTAGTCAGCGTTGCGAGGAAATGCCTCGGCGATGTAATTTTTAACGTCGCAAGGAAATGCCTCGGTGATGTAATCTTGACAACAATAATAATAACAAATGGTAACTGCCTGTGGCGGCACAATAATACGTAGTAGTAAGCGAAGAAAGATAAGCTCCTCCGTAGTCTAGTGGTAAGGACACCCGCCCGGCAAGCGGTAAACGTGAGGCTCGATTCCCACGGAGAAGCAACATTTTTCTTCGCTTACCTACATACCTAAGGGGAGAAATTATTTTAACCCCCGGAATTTTGTTAATTCAACTGCCGTTAATGAACTATTAGCGATCTTGTGTGAGTAATTAAGAAAGATTATAATGTAACACTTACGTATTAACATTCAGAAACTTATTCGTAATTAGACAACCAAAATCAAACCAGTCCTGACTCAGTGAATTTCATGAAATCTCCAGTGGCGGCTCGTGACTGTCTGATGTGGTGAGGCGATGATAGAAGTTTGACAATAATTGTAATATTACTTGGTCTTACTAGTTAGTAATGATAGAAGTCTTGCCTGAATACCGGTGATTCTCGAGACAGTGGTAGGTCCTAATAATAATAATAATAATAATAACACCCATAACACATTGAATGAACAATGTTTTTACAAGTCAAAATTTTGTTGAAAGTAGCACTTTCTTGGAGGGATTCGGGAATAGTTGTTGTGTTCTTTTCTAAACGTTTTAAGCCCATGAAATTTTTAATGTGTACTTTGGAACTTTCATGGAACTTTGCACTTCGGATGAAATTCTTTAAATCGTTATATCCCGGGATGTTGTGTAAATATTACGGCAGAGCCATTTATATGTCGTAGGTACCAAGTTGATTTAAATGACTTGGAGTACTGACGATTCTGTCGCTTATCAATGGAAGTTAAATGAATTAACGGTTTTGACTGCTCGATATTTAGCAAAATTTGCCGACGTTCTAGCTCGGTTCGCCGTGAAAACGGCGTTTCAAGAAGCAACATGACAGTGTCGTACTCGGGATTCATTTTTCACTCACCTGTACCTATGAAAGAGACAATAACACAAAACACCAACACGTGGGTTTTTATTCACGTTCATGCTAATTACCCACGCACCCCGCAACCCTACCGTTCTGTAAAATAAATGGAAAAATTGGTCTAAAGAGTTTAGACAGTACTTCCCTCGCTGTCGGAAACTTGACGACTGCATGCCTATTGTGTTTTTTTTCTCATTACATTTTTGTAGTGGGAATTTAAAAAAAAATTGCGATGACGTCATCAACATTTTTGCAAGGACACGTATATCAGTTGGGATAGATGTAGTGTAATACTAAGAATAAAATTATTATATTCTCAAATTTTCGGGAAAATGAATTGGGTCGTTTGAATATTGATTTGTAATAATCAATAAAATAACGAAACAATTTACTCACGTATACCTACGTATCAGAGGCAACTGAAAATCGTGTATGTATAAACATTGTTAATTTAAGATGACAGGCGTAACAGCATACGTGAGAGCCAAACACAGAAACTGTAAACAAAACGACCGTCGGTTTTATTGCTTCGACTTCCGCTTATTATATAAAACATTGGGTTTTATTTTAATTCTTGACGGTGAAATTCACAATTGGATGATTATAAACATGCCTATTTCACATTCGCGGAATCAAGTGAACGCATAAAACAAATGCAGGTCTGTAATGTTAAAGTCGATGTAAATAAGCGTGCTACCCTTATGTTTCAACCGAGTTTTTCCTTCAACAAATTTTGTGTCTACCAAATTGGGTTGGTTGGGGTGTAATACTAATAATAAGTGTTGCCTTTAATTTAATCAATAAAATAAATTGACTTCATTAATTTTTTTGAACCACCTCTTAAGAAAATCTAAAAAATATGAATGGAATGATAAATCACAAGTACAAACTCATCGTATTTTTTGCATTTTAGATAGGATTTATTCAGCAAAATTTAAGGGTGACGTCATCAATTTTTTTAGGAGGGATGAACAAATACATTTTGAACAAAAGTTTACCATGCTTATAATAACTTTAAAATATTCCCAAGATTTCAAAGCATTCGGTTTTGTAATTCCTGATTAAATCGATAAAATAAATTCACGCCTTCATTAATTTTTTTGAGTCACTCTGTATATGCAAATCCAAAAAATATGAATGGAGTGATAAATGACAAGTACAGGCTCATCATATTTTGTACATTTTAGATATGATTTATTCGGCAAACTTTCGAGCTGACGTCATCAAGTTTTTGGAGGGGATAAGCAAATATATTTTGACTAAACATTTATTATGCTCTTTATGACCTTAAAACATCTGCAAGATTTCAGAGCATTCGGTTTTGTAGTTCCTGATTAAATCAATAAAATATATTTACGCATTCATTAATTTTTTTGAGTCACCCTGTATATGCAAATCCAAAAAATATGAATGGAGTGATAGTTCACAAGTACAGACTCATCATATTTTGTACATTTTAGATATGATTTATTCCACAAACTTTTGAGCTGACGTCATCAAGTTTTTGGAGGGGATAAGCAAATATTTTTTGACTAAAGATTTATGATGCTCTTTATAGCCTTAAAACATCTGCAACATTTCAAAGCATTCTGGTTAGCAGATTAAAAATTAAATTTCAAAATGTTGTTTTATAATTTTGATTTTTTTTCCAAAAATCTGGACGTTTCGGGTGAAAAGTCGATTCAGAGTTGTAAACTACATGTGTAGGACTATGTTATTTTATACAATTGAAAACCCATTTACTATGTACAATTTTGAAGTGACGTCATCGCTTTAGTGGTGGGGATGATTCGACAAATTTTGGTTAGCGTTTTACCATCTACATGATATTCTTAATATAAGTACAAAATTTCACAACAATCGGTAGAGTACTTTCGGAGATTATCTGTCTAATAAAAATCCGTGACAACAGACGGACAGACGGACAGACGGACGGACAGACGGACAGACGGACAGACGGACAGACGGACAGACGGACAGACGGACAGACAGACGGAAATGGGAGACCTATTTCTTCGTCTTCTAGGGGTCATGAAAGATCGAGAAAACGTAAAAGTAGAGAGTCGGCCGACGGACTCGATTACAATACTTCCTTTGCTTACGCTCGGGAAGTAAAAATGGTTTAATGAGTACGCCGAAATTGGCCGAGAAGCACCGAAGATATCGCCTCAGTTCCGAGCGAACGCATGTATAGGAGTATAGGAGCTGAGCCATCGAAATCCGTGTCTGTGATTGGGCTTCGCTGGTTCAAGTGAACAGACGTTCTGGCCGCTTCAGTTAAAGAACTAGGCGCATAAATCGTACGGTATTCAACGGAAAATGTCAGCAGGAAGCGTAAAAAATAAAAAGTCATGTACAGATTTCCCATTTCAACATATTTTTGTAACTAATGCATTAAAACCTCTTTTTTAATTATAAATTAAGTCAATCTGTTCTTAACATATTATGCTGTGAGGCGCCGCCTTACTTGCCTCATCTGACGAGCCGCCACTGGAAATCTCCTAGCAAGTGTTTGGTTAAACGAATCTATTGTCTGTTAAATTGTGTTAGAACCAGTTAACGATTAAAATCCTAACATGAACTGTGAATTTACAAACAATGAATTAAATTTACACGGGTTGGCGTCGTTCAAAAATTCGCCTTTTCCGATTAGAAAGCCGCAAGAATTACCTGCACATCTTGGGGAAAACTGGGCGCCGTCGGCGTTACTCGATTAATTCCTCCTTTTTATTAACTACCAAACCAACTAATTTAACCTAACTAACTTACAGCGTCTTTTCACCATGTTCTCATACACACCACCAAATCTTGTCTACTAAACCGCTCTCTTGTAACCAACCCGCTAACTAAAATCTCAAACAGACTACACACTGCCTAAAAGCAATAACCTGCACATGCCTATGTTTAATGATTTCTTTACTATGCTTTTATTACGTCGAAGTTAGAATAAGAACGCATTGTATGGTTTCCGTCTTCTTAAATTTTTATTTTGTATTCTTATCAAATAAACCCATACACCGTCCCGGTACGACGCCTATGGGCCGTCGAGAGCTCTCTAGTATGTGCGGCGATGATGAGTGACTCACCATCTGTGAATCATAAAGACAAATTTGAAGTCTCAATTACGGTCCAGAAAAACCTCCAAGCGGGTTCTCGATCCATCCAGAGGAGAACGTATAGGTTTAAATAGAGGTCACCGTCGGGAACAATTATTATTCAGTCAGTGAGTCTAGTGAATGAATTCAGTCAAGTTGCGCCGAAATTATTTTGTACATAATCGCTGTGTAATTAGTTTCAGCTTTCATTTTGTGGTGTCCCGATTTGAAAAATTAAATCGCCTTGACACATAAAAAAATCCATAATAATTAAGTAATGTACGAAAATTATCCATATTTTAGCGCGTTTGAGGGAATAGCGAAAAAAATTACTTTCAAATTGGTACTTTTAGGAAGTTTTGTGTGTTTGAGGTGTCCCTAACTTCGTATTTGGTGTTCTCACCATTCCTTCAGCGACTGTAACTAGTGTAAACCACTTAATTAGAGGTCTGCAACGTTGGATTTTTTTTTTCCTTTTAATGCGTATGAATCTACAGTTCATGTTAAGATTTTTAAGTATTTATGATTCTAATACAGTTGAACTACAACAATGGAAATGTAAAACACATGAGAGGAAGTTCACTTATGCAGGCTCCATTTATTTTTTCATGATGGTGGACTTACATAAATGTTATGATATTATGTTTTTACTTAAATTATTACATTATCTACACTTTACAACTTCTCACTCCAGATTTATAATACTTCATTTACGGCTTTTACATTAATCTTAAACATCGATCACTTCTAAGAGGACAAACCTTGAAATTTATCATCTGTTAAATTAACATCATCGTATACTCGAAAACGATCGTATTGAACATGTGCCTGTTCCGTTTATTTCATATGTGCTTTATTTGTATGTGATATGGGGTCCACTTTGGGTCCATGACAATATAACCTGTCAATACATTCTAGTTTTAATCAACTATTTGAATTAACACATAATTTAACATCATGTGAATTCTTTTTTGTTTAAAATTCTCGATAGTGTGGCGTAATTCAATGTTGCTGGCTTCTTTCCTGATATTTATCCAGATATAGTCCTAGGTTCTAGATACAGAGTATCTAAAAATGAGGTCGAAGTACGTCGTGAACAGGTGCCGCCTCTCAGTTTTGAACCTTACTAAATGCCCAAAGACGCACGACAAATACCACACGCATCTATATAATTCGTTGCATAAATACTTCATATCTTTTTAAAAAATAAAACTAATTCAATGCAATAAAAAGGAACAAATTTATTGGGGTTAAACATCACAATAAATGTTGAAAATGTTAACCATTTTGTTCTTGGCACATGTTCACTCTCTTTTTAATTTCAAAAATGTTCTGTAATCCTTTCGTCAATGCTCATTGTGCAATTTCATGTTGCAGCAGGAAGTGTTGACTGCTTCCTCAGATACTGGGGGTCTTCCAGGAGACCTCCCCTTGTTGACACTGTCAGTTTGAACAAATCTGATCATTTCATCTCTAATGTGAGCCTCTAACGATGTTTCTTGAATTATTAAATCACGGTATTTGGCCAGATATTCTTACTGTGAGAGGAGTGTTCAATATATGTTCAAAATTCAAGTTGTAGAACACAAAATAAGCATAAAATTCCACTACCAGTTTCGGGTCCAGGATGATATTAATAATATAACTGATAATCTTCTTCCTCATTAATATGTACTATTATGCAAGAAAACTGAGAAATAAAAGCAGCGTCTACGTCAAACACTCTACCCCTATATTAATATTTCTAGTTTTGTAAAGATGTCAAGGACTTTACAACTGATTTCATTACTTTTAAATCCGTATTCAAAATGATTTCTTGTTTCTTTTTTGCAGGTTGGCGATTCTACTGCCGCCATGATCGTGGTATTGCTCCTCTTCATGTTTCCCGCTAAAATGGACTTCAGATACATGTTCAGTGAAGACGAAGAACGCCGACCTAAAGCTGCATCCAGTGGACTAATTACGTGGCGTTTTGTCAACCAGAAGATGCACTGGAGTCTGATTTTTTTGATGGGAGGCGGTTTCGCTCTAGCTGACGGTATAAAAAACAGTGGAATGGGGGATTTGACAGCTGAGAAGTTATCTGTAATCGTGGATCTTCCGCCGTTTCAAATACTAATTATCTGTTCATTGCTGGCTATGGTAGTGACTCAGTTCACTAGTAATGCCGCAGTAGCAAATATTTTGTTGCCGATAATAGCTAATATTGCTCGAGTGAGTATTTTATCACTTTTTATTGTCACGATTTTCGTTTTTATTTTTGTAGAAAGCTAAAATCCATCCCATGTACCTAATGATGCCCGTATGCTTATCCTGTTCTTTTTCATATTGCCTTCCGGTTTCAACACCGCCAAATGCGATTGCGGCGGCACCCTGCAATATGAGAAGTTGGGAAATGATTAAAGTTGCTTCAGTTATGCAAGTTATTGCCATTTTGATGTTGATAGCTATTTTTCCGAGTTTAGGAACGGTGATTTGGGATTTTTCCGAATATCCGGATTGGGCTGTTGCAGAAAACAAGACAAAGTCGTAAATTTGCTGCATTACCTAGTCAGGTTTGAAATTTAATTTTGAAATGTATTACATATCGGTACTGTTAGTAGTTAAAGCAAAATACTTAAATATAAATTGTCCACAAAAATGTTCCTCTTATTTCCATTTATATGTACCACGTTGAATTGTACCTAAATCCACGTGAGATGAACAGTATATACACGAATCTCATGAACATTTTGTTTTGTTTGCGACTTTACGTTATTACTTTTTTTAAAGGATTGATAGTAGTGACCTCAAGCAGAAGTGTCACTGTTTGGTACCTCCCGCTAAAGTATTTTAGAAGTTTATTGTTAGTGATACTGAGTGTCTTTGCGTGTTAGTGAGTGTGCTGGGGTCGGTTGTGATTTTTGTGCATACAGTAAAGGCTCCTCAAAATGCCTAAGACCTAAAGACAATGAGTTATTCTGCAAAATGTGTGGAAAAGTTTTAAGCAAATATTTAAAGTACTGAAGCTTGAATTATATTCACATTTTTGTTTCCTAGTTTAAGTGCGAAAAAAAATCACACTTTGAACAACACTGCAGTGGTGATGCACATAAAAAGAACAAGAATAAATCCAGTAAACAGACTTGATTAAACATTAGTTCCGATAATGATTTTACGCAATTTCGCACCGATTTATGCAGGGCATTTACGGCAGCAAATATTCCATGGAATAAAGTTAGTTGTCCTGAGTTTAAAAATTTTATGCATAAATATACAGGAAGGCATTTACCCTCAGAAAGCACTCTGAGAAAAAAATATTTACCAAAAGATTACGATATGGTGAGCACTAGAATTTTTATTTAAAAACTTTTTAACATAAATTTTATAATTTACAGGTAGTTAAACAAATTAGAAATTCTATTGGCAATAATGATATATGGATTAGCGTCGATGAGACGACGGACAGATTAGGAAGATACATAGCCCATTTAGTAATTGGAAAGTTATCTTCTGAAGAAGCTGGCTTCTACTAGCTTTGAAGCAGCTTGATAAAACTAATAGCAACACAATCTCGAGATTTATAAACGAATCCTTGGGTGTGCTATTGATAATTTTAAGCCTTGAAATTATTATAATTTATTTAATTGTTAATTTGTAGCTTTATTGTAGCCAAAAGGAACTGAACACAAAAAAGTTAAATGGTTTGTATCAGATGGTGCTTCATACATGATCAAAACTGGTACTAATTTGAAGGTCTTTTATGAAAATATATCACACTTAACATGTATGGCACATGGGTTACATTTATTGCCTGAAACAATAATTCGATTGAATTATCCAGATGTCAATGGGATAATTCGCAATGTTAAGGAAATCTTTTTAAAAGCACCAATAAGAGTAGAGTTTTATAAAAATAGTTTACCAAATACACCTCTCCCACCTGAACCTGTATTAACCAGGTAGGGCACTTGGATTCAAGCAACATTGTTTTATGCAGAACACTTTGATGTTTTAAAACAAGTCAGTAAATATATAATGGTTTTTTACTATCATTCTTTTATTGAATATTTTTAGGTTGTAATGTCATTTGAAGCCACAGATGCACAAAGCACTAAAAAAGCTCAAAAATTCCTGAATAAAGCAAACGTTAAAAATGAACTCTTGTGCATTAAAACTCACTTTAAAATTATTGCTGATGCATTAAAACAATTAGAAACTATAGGTTTAAAATTAAACCAAAGTATGGAAATTGTGGAAAAAGTGTATACATCTTTAAAAAAACACACCAGGAAAGTTGGGGGAAATGGCGTTCCAAAAATTATGTTCTCTATTAAAAAAGAATCCATGATCCGATTTTATATGTTCAGTAAATAACGTAATTTGCGGTAATGGAAATGCTACCAACAATACATACATAAACGAAAGCGGAGATTGTTCAATATTTAATTTTGCACCCATCACTTCTTGTGATGTGGAACGCACGTTTTCAAAACTTAAAAGTGTTTTAAGCGATCAAAGGTGTAAATTTACAATCGAAAATTTAGAGAAATATTTAGTTTGCTTTTGTAACTCATTTTAAATACCTGAATTAATATTTTATTTTTTGTCAAATGCGACTTGCTTTAATTTTATCGCCATTTTTTTGCGATAACGTAGAATTAGTGAACGTAACTATAGATCGTTTGTTTATTTAATCATTTTTTTGTTTGTTACACAAAATATTTGTTTCTATAATGTTTTGTTTAATGTTTTTTTTTAATATTTATTTTTTTGATGTATACTTTTTCGTTGAGCAAATATTTTTTCCTCCAGGATTTTAACCTAAACTAAGATTTTTATAGAACCTAATTCGTCAATTTTGGGTCCTAAAAATGTCTCCTTTTATTCATTTTTAACGACCTAAAATCCGAAGCCTAATCATAATTGAAGACAATTTGATAATGTCTTGTTTGGGGAATTAAGGCTCTTCCTTACAGTCATTAAAATCTGCCGAAATACGGCAAAACGCCACTTCCAATATCATCCTTACTATAGCACTTGAAGACTTGTGCGACATATCTATTTGTTCGTGATACAAAAATCTTCATGGAAATAGTTTTTATATTGCATTAAAGGCTTCCGTTTTTTTAATAAAAAATAAAAACAGAAAAACTTATTTTTCTCTTTGAGCCAAAACTATAACGTATTTTGGCTTAAAAAAATCTGACAGTGTAGATAATATTATTGCTCACCTGGGGCTAATAATTATTTTTTCGTTAAACTATCCATTTTTTAGTTATTGTTGATTAAAGCAAGACCTAAAAAGGGCATTTTTTCTAAATGTAGGCAACCAAACATCTTCTTTCGTCAAGAACGAGCCAAGAAAGTGTATGATTTACGATAGGGGTTGGCCACTATTGAGAGATTATACGGATTTAAAACCTTTGTTGAGAAAATATGCAAATGAGGTGACCGTAGTGTGTTTTACCTGAAGGTTGTGGAATCGTACAATTATGTAGGAGTATTATATTAATCTAATTTCAGAATAACAAATAAATAAATAAAAAAAATGGAAAATTATTTGGAAAAATTTTATTTAAAAGCCATGCTCCCAGAAATTATTGATTCACGATGGAGTCGAAATCAGCAGCTTCGTCCTATAATAAAAAAAGATTTATGATTTACAGACCATTATTTATTTTTATATCATTATATTTATTATACTCTATCTCAGTCAAAAAAATTTATATACATTTTTAAATTTAGAAGAGGCTATAATATGTATAAAGATATGTAAGTAATTCAACACATACATTGGATTATTAGTGTCACATATAACCGAATCTTCACTGTGTGCTTTGGAAAAAGTTGTTCTATTCTTTTCTTTTTCAGTGATTGATAATTTTAAAATTTGTCTAATTTATCTCACATTTGGGATCAGCAGTAATTATAGCTGTTGAAACAAGTTAGGCAGTTTTGTAAAAAATCCAAACTCGGTTATTTATTTGTTATTCTGAAATTAGATTAATATAATACTCCTACATAATTGTACGATTCCACAACCTTCAGGTAAAACACACTACGGTCACCTCATTTGCATATTTTCTCAACAAAGGTATTAAATCCGTATAATCTCTCAATAGTGGCCAACCCCTATCGTAAATCATACACTTTCTTGGCTCGTTCTTGACGAAAGAAGATGTTTGGTTGCCTACATTTAGAAAAAATGCCCTTTTTAGGTCTTGCTTTAATCAACAATAACTAAAAAATGGATAGTTTAACGAAAAAATAATTATTAGCCCCAGGTGAGCAATAATATTATCTACACTGTCAGATTTTTTTAAGCCAAAATACGTTATAGTTTTGGCTCAAAGAGAAAAATAAGTTTTTCTGTTTTTATTTTTTATTAAAAAAACGGAAGCCTTTAATGCAATATAAAAACTATTTCCATGAAGATTTTTGTATCACGAACAAATAGATATGTCGCACAAGTCTTCAAGTGCTATAGTAAGGATGATATTGGAAGTGGCGTTTTGCCGTATTTCGGCAGATTTTAATGACTGTAAGGAAGAGCCTTAAGAAATAAGTTTGCTTCGTCTAACTCATTTAATTTATCTGGGTCTTCAAAACCTTTATTGAGAAAAAGGTTGCTGTCTACTATAAGTAAGATTTAGTTAGGTTCATCACTTTATGTAAAACTCAAATCCATAAGCAGGGCTATGAAAGTCTCAGCTGACTCCATAAGAAATACATGGGGAGCTTACGGAACGACATAAAGAGGTCACTGGCGTCACTAAAGGTGCTCCGACCTTGAAGAACATAGTTTCTTTTTCATTTTAAGGTTTTCAGTGAACGTTTTGTCTGGTTTTGTCAACAAGAAATGTCATATTATTTACGGAATCATACGGGATGTTGGGTTATGGGGTTAAAAACAAACGTAAAATTTATTGTAACAAAGTAATAGATACTTACGACGTAGTCTTACGATACATGTAAAAAATACTAGAAAATTCCAGGCTAAAGAGGTCAACAAACTGCAGGTTAAACGAAATAGTTTAATTTTCGATGTGTGCGTGTTTGAGCGGTCCAAGATTTATTTTTAAATTTTAGTGTGTAAAAAATTCTAACTCTAATAAAAACTGAGACGAGGTAATCAAGAGGAAAGTCTTTGCAGGGGTGGTGGAATGGTATTTTTGTATGGTTCGTTTTTTAGCCGCAAACCAGTTAACGAATACAGTGCATAAATTGGGAAAAACTCACAAAATGTATTACCCACTACCGGAGTATAAACTGCAAAATGTGCAGGTGGCATCATTAAATCGCCAAAAATCACATCTTCATTGAAAACTTTAAAATGTCACAATTAAAACAGGATGTACCACTTCGTAAGAATGTGCAAAGTTCTCACAAACTTCGCAGAAGTGGTGGTGTAAGAATTTTCGTATTAATGAATATCCACAAACATACCATAAACAGTTGTGTTCTTTCAAGGTGAGTTTCCGGTAACTCACATCACTTAATGATTGTTGAAGAGACCGGAATACAGGGAAGATGTGTTGTGGAAGTTTATTTAAAAGAACACCTTGGCAAATTTTTCATTTCAAATAAAATAGTGTTTCACAGTTGGTTCTTGCACTTGTATCGAAATAATCTGTAGTAAATAGTTTCCGAAACGTTCTTTGGAATTCTATTGGTGTGGGATTTATACAATTCCCAAATTGACGCCTCACAGAGCCAAAGAAATATGTCAAACAATACTGATTTAGTTGCAGCAACCTTTTAGTGAAAATTGTAAACAAATTGTATTCTGTGAAAACTATTAAAAATAATAAGCAAAATGTTTATGTTCCTGAAGTTGTTTTTTATTTTTTTGTGAGTGATTTAAAAATATTAAGAGTGAATTAAAAATTTTGCAATTCACTTGTGGATAACAACTTATTTGTGAAACTTGTTAAGGTTTTAATAAACGCAGTTTAAAACGTCAAAATCGAATAAAAATGTTTTGCTTGAATATATTAATAATTTATAGGAAAGAAAAAAATGACCAATGTCACTAGTACATGCCAACCATTTTTATTTTTGTGTACAATTATTAGTATTATATGAATCACATACGAATGCTACGAAATATTTGAATCTTCGTGTTTCCCGGGAACGGGCTCCCAAGGTCACACCCGTTCCGCAAATATTGCTGAAGTTTCGTTACTGATCTACTGTGCCATAAGGTTGTAACCACTCCCTAGTGTAAATTTTTAAAAATTAGTCAGTGTAAATCTGTCTTTTAATAACCTGGTGACATATTTGGTGACCTGTCAATATAATGTCAGTTCATTCATGTATTCGCGACACATGATTACGTTCGACTTCACTGCAATTCTTGCACTCCTGCACAGGTTATTTCATAATTATCATTGTAACTTGTCGCAATATTGTAAAAACTGATAAACAATTTTCAATAAAAACAGGATAACCTGAGTCTTCATGGTAATTATAATACAAGAGCAACGATAAATAGAAACGTGTTTTATCTTTCATCTGTAGAAAGAATGCCACCTGCTGTAATTTAGACTTGCAGTCGATACGTTTACGAATTACGATAAAATGAACCCAAAAATATTGTGGTCACGAATGAAATCAAATATTGGGCTGGTAAAAAAACAAGGTGAATTGATTTATTTATTGTTGCTGCTTCATAAAAATTACTTTACAGATGGGGAATAACTGAGATATTCAGAATTTGTTTAAATTATTGTACATGAGTATACGTGATAATTATATGTGTGGCTAACTATGACTCGAAGGATCAGCTCTCTCGACTGAAATGATCAATCTCGCGAGCAACACCAAAATTGTCTATAATGGGTAGATCACCTTAATTAGTTGCAATGGATGACCAATTTTTCATCAAAAAAATGGGACACCAACAAGTCTTTAATGTTATGTTTAATAACTCTAATATTTGGTACTACTTATTATTTACAAAATGTACAAGGGATTTGGTTGAAGGCGATAGGTCTGGCTATGCTCCTCCGTCCTGACGATTTTAGTGGTAATAATGAACAAAATGTAACTTCACAAAATTCAGAGGCTAAAATAATAGGTATGTTGAAAATAATTTGACGGCTTATTTAAACTTACTGTTACAGGAGTGGTTAGAAACATTGGGAACACATAGACCAAATAACCAAAAAGCAATTATTTTTCTGTTGTTAACTTTCTTAAATCTGAATCCCATGGATTTTAATACTCAACGTAAAGTATTTAAACTTGCTGTATATTCTGGATGTTCTTTCGCAAAAATAAACAAATCCTGAAGAGTAAAAAACTCATTTTTTTTGTTTTTGTCAAATATACGGTAGGTTAGATCTTCTTTAAATTCCAAATTTGAATACCACTGCGATTTTTGTTTTGGTTTCCACTTTGCTTCTTGTAACGGTTCTCCAGATTGGTGTTGGGTTATAATTTTGTGGGCTTGACATCGAGAACACTATGGAAAGGATAGGAATTAATGATAAGTTTACAGGGAAAGTATGCAGTGCTTGAATTTAATGAGGGACATTTAGTTGTATTGTGTAGGATATAAAGAGTGGGTATAAAACTTGAAAAGACAATGTTGTACTAAAAAGCGAGATATACACTTTCAACTTGAGATAGTTAAAACTAAAAGTCCTTCGACATACCACCATGTTGTAATAACATGAAAAAAGTTCCGAATGTCGATACGTTACTCTCATAGTATAGTACTCTCTTTCCATGGTATAAGAATAACTACATACTGAAAAGATTTTTACAAGCTTGAATTCAAGTTCTCGGGAGGATGCTTGGGGATAAGCAAGTTTCAATTCATTGTGGCAGTTGGCAAGTGCCATTTTCATCTGCTTATTTACCACAATATGCCGTGTCGGTACCATTTTTCAATGGTATGGTTTAATAACAAACTGTGAGATATTTAAATAAAACTCTCTCGTGCGTAATTGTCAAATTTTGACATATGCGGCGCTACCAATCTGTTCATGTGAAAAACACCATTGGCTGTAATGCCAACCTTACAATTTAACAAGTGGTTACAACCTTATGGATTTAACTGTATAAATTGAATACTAGTTCTTTTAGTTTTTGTGCTTATTTTTAATTTCTGTGTTAATAAAATATTAATGTAAATAGGTGATTTCCGTAATAAATATCTAAAATAATATAAATATTTAAAAATATAGTTGTGCGATTTTTCATTTTTGTGATTTGCTATTGTCCCCTAATTTCTCGACATGGTTACACCACTGTGTAGTAACTGTCAGTGTCAGTACTGTCACAGGTATAACCTTACATTTTCAATTTTAAAGTTGTATTGTTTGTGAACTAGTTTTGGGTTTGAATATCCCAATGGATCTCATTATGTGTCGAACTTGCTTAAAACAGGGAACCTTTTGTTCTCTTTTTAACAATCACGAACAAACTTCCGTCCAGTTTTCACACATGCTGGATTATTGTGCCTCTGTACAGGTAAACTTCTTAAAGTGACCATAACATTGAATAAAACTATTTAAAACCCACGAAAGGCCGACGTGGAAGATGGTTTACCTTCACAAATATGCGAACAGTGTGTGGACACGCTTGTCACGTTCTACAAATTTAAAAAAACCGTGTTGGATAACGACTTGAAATTACGAGAAAGACATCAAACAGCAAAAACAGAAATCAAAAAAGAAGTGGACGAAACACCTCTTCAAAATGACAATATTAGATCAGACTTTGTGAAAGTTTGTAGTGTTGATATACCAAAAAATTCAACAACAAAAACTAAAAAAGCCAAAAAAATCCACCAGTGCAATGTATGTGGAGAAATTTTAAGCTGTCGGAGTAACTTTAACAAGCATGTCAAATCGCACACGGGAGAAAAACCATACGAATGTGACATTTGTGGAAAAAAATTTACGAGATTGGAGCATGTGAAAGTTCATAAGAGGATACACAGTGGTACGAATTTTTAGTTGCACTTATATACCAATATAGTTTTTGATTTTAATTTTTAAGGCGAAAAACCGTATCAGTGTAGCATTTGCCAGCAGCAGTTCACCCAATACGCGACTTTATCAGTCCATATGCGAACCCACAGTGGTGAAAAACCATACATGTGTTCAACTTGTGGGAAAGCGTTCAGTCAGGTCACGTCTTTAACGTACCATGAGAGGATACATACTGGGGAAACCCCCTACAAGTGTGAAGTGTGTGGAAAAGGATTTGCACATAATGGTAATCTACAGAATCACATGAGGTTCCACAATAATGAAAGACGCTTTGAGTGTGAATTTTGCGGAATGAGATTCGTGATGAGTTCGCACTTATCAACACATATTAAAAGACATACAGGGGAAAAACCGCATAAGTGTAATATATGTGGGAAGGGATTTATTCAAAGTAAATATTTAACGAGTCATTTGCGGACGCATTCAGGGGAAAGGCCCTACGTTTGTGGCGTTTGTTCAAAGAGTTTTACACAGAAGGGGGCGCTGGGTCGACATATGAAAACTCATAGAAATAATTAGATTTTTTGTTTTTGTTATTTTAACATGTCTAATCGTGGCCTAATGTTGGTAGTGCTGGCTAGAGATGTTAAAGAGATGTTAAATAGGTTCATTTTTTTGTTTATTTGGTATTTTTGTTATAAACATTTTATAGTTTTAATTAAATAAGCAGTTAAAATAAGTATACTTTTTTCGTAAATTAGCGGGCAATTTTTGTTGCACTAACATCTCTAGTGCTGGCAGATCCGAAAAATATGTAACGAGGGTGGCAAAAAAGTTACATTGTCTTAATTGGTGTATTTATTAATTACGTTATTTATACTATAAACATTATTTTAATATGCAAATAAAATTTGAAAAAAATAAAATTAAAAAGCCTAAGCTCCTAACCCATAAAAGCAACCATGGTTCATTGACAGTTGGTCGTTTTTAAACTCCGAACAGGGCCGTATTTGGTCCATTTCAGTGTATTTATCTCCGGAGGGATCGTGTACAGTGATAGAACGTCAACCTTTTTGTGTTCGTGTACAGGTATGTAGTTGACCTTCGCCGTCATAAAATTACTGTTTTCCAGCATTTAGTGACTGACCAGGATTTTTTCGGGGGAAGTTCAAGCATTTTTTCCTAAATGACATTCATAGGTTATTAGTGTGCATAAGTGCATAATATTAAATACGAGAATACTCTGTGTGTGAAAAACAATCATACTCTGCCGATGATGTAAACATTTTTATAATGAATATCTTCGTTTCTGGTCTAGCAATTTGTAGTCCAAAGTATACAGAAATATTTCGTAGAAACTGGGTTGTGGTGTCGAAAATAAGAAAAATAAGAAATATTAATTTGCATTACAAAGCCAGAAACGAAGCTATTTATTTTTTTTTGCAAGCAAAAAACGGGTTCTGTGCCGCGTAAATGTATTGTTTATTAAACATTAAATAATTTTTATTTCTTGACATAACAGAGTGATAGTAAGATTCGAAAGTGAGCATCAGTGCGAATATTCCTTTAGAGACCTAGGAATGTGTGCCATTTTATACGATCTAGGCCAGAAACAGTTTCTGGACGATTGAAGCTACAGGTACCGAAGGACATTTATGACAGCTGTCATTATCTCAACCAATCAACACGTTTGTTAGGCGTGCTTATATCAAATCAACATTGACAACTGCGAGCTGGCGTGCTAACTAGCATGGATGTCAATAATTCAGAATTGCCAACACAAACATTTGATTCGATCATTAAAAATCACCCGGTATTTAAAAAGTGGAGGCCCTAGAAATTAATTTCAGTAATATAGGCACTCACCCACGTTCTCGCACTTTTAGGGGATTTGATTACGTTGGTGTAGGGTTGGAATGTACAGCAGGTAAGGATACGTTAAATTTAGTTTGTAATTTCATAAAACGGCAACTATTTAAATAAAAATGAACTGCAGTCAACTTCACAGTCCGCTTCAACGAGTATGTTGGTGGAAAACTAGTTTATTAACATTTTAGAGTGTGAATTTGACCTGTGTAAAACTTCGACGTTCGCCAACACGTGTAATTTTGGTTTTATTGTTTGTAAGTAAATTCACAGTTCAGCTTACGCTCATTGCGTAAAAATGAACTGCATTCGTCGCTACAGCCCCACTGATCAAGTATAATTAGAGCAAGATCAATTAATAGTCGACTTTCTATTTTGAAATATTGTAAAAATTTAGACTACTCCATCTACACGTGTAATTTTTGAAAACAAAATAAGTGAAAATGATGGAATAAAAATTGTTTGCGAATTTACAGCTCACTTTTAGATTTTTAACTGTTCGTTCTTCTATAGTTCATTTTTGCGGAAAAATCGCGCAATCCAACAACCACATCCCGTTGTGGTGACCAAATTTGAATTAAAATTTCGCACTGAAAAAAAAAAACAACGGCACGAAATCGCATTTGAATAATTTGAATTCAAAAATCGTTAAACATAGGCAACCATGTACAAGTTTAGTTCTTTTTCTGGTAGTTGGTAGCTCTTCTAGGGCAATTTGTGGGTACTATCTAGTGAGAGGGTTGGTAGTGAAGTTCACCTGTTTGCTAGAGGGTCGTGACGCGTCACTGTTTGTTTGGTTTGAGTGCAAGCACGCGGTAAAGTAGCTAGATTAAGTTGTGTTGGTATGATAACCCAAACATCCCGCCTTAAATTGCCATGTGAAAAAAAATTGAAAGCCCGCGAGAAGTTTAAAAATTCAAATTTGACCTTGTCTGTGATCGTCTAACAAAATGGAACCCTATGTTGTGTTTTTGAAAAATGGCGGGACGCCTTCAGATGCAAATGGTGGACCCCAAGGTGATTCTATTCTATCTGCAAACCCTATCTAACGAAGAGACGTACCACGCTAACCAGGCCGTTACGGTCACAACCCCGTGGTTGGAAATCACGGCTATAAATAAGTTGACAGCGTCACGTCATCCAGACCGTTCCCTGACTCTATTCTAACCTGCATTTTTTGTGCAGATGGCGGGATAAATCTCGCCAGCTCGACTAGGAACCGCGCACTCCGCTTCTGTCACGTATTTCGGTGTTATTTGGAATTTTAACATAAGTTTTGGCAGTATATGTTATGTTTTATGTGTTTTATGATTCCAAATTTGGAACATTCATCTTCAAAGTACCTCTCAGAGCGATGTACAGACAAACCAAATGATATTTTGTGTTTCTGACGATATTTAACATGTGTTTTATATATTTATGTGTTGGGAAATTCAATTCACGATGTACTCTTGTTTCATTAATTTTTTTTAATTGAATTTGGTGGGCAACTTCGGCCCAAGTCAAGATGGACAACTTTTCCCTGTCATTCATATGACTGTTTATTCGCAATACTGGATGCCGCCAACACGAGATATGCGGAGGGTGGCCTACTGGTAAAGGAAACTTTACTGGGGGTAGCCAGTGTCGTGTGTCACGCGTTGGATGGAGTAAAGTTACGGAATAATACTTGAAGCAGCTGCCTCAGGCGCCAGCGAACACAGCATGGAGATAGCGTGGCGTTTGTGAGGGCATCGCGGCTTGGTTGTACGTAGCTGGTAGTGCAAAGAAACAGTTCGATGGCAGTTAAATCGTTTTTAATAATCAAAATCTGCCAACATAATAAGCTTTCCATTTCCCTTAGATATGAATTTGCAAACTAGAGCATTGTATACCTTTAAGAACAAGCTGTGTTTATCTGATCTAAATTTGTAAATTTTACACTTGACACAACGAGACTTTTGTAACTAGAAATATTGAAAAAAAAAAAAAACAAAAGGAAAGAACTTAATAAACTTATTCCCGCCATATTTTTGTGTTGTTAATTTCAAGGTCACTCTTCCACCTTTGCGGTTCACCACTTGCATCAGAACGTATTCCGCCATTCAAAACACAACGTAGGGTTCCTCCACTTGATGACGATGGCCACTTTTCGAATTTTTCGCGGGTTGGTTACTTAAAATAATTAACTTTGAGAGTTTGTCGTGAACTGGTTACCCCAACAAAACACATCATCCTCGTTGCGAGGAAATGCCTCGGTGATGTAATCAATCTTTAACGTTGCGAAGAAATGCTTCGTTGATGTAATGATGATAACGACGATAACTGCATAAGGGAAGAAATTATTTTAACCCCCCTCCAGTTCACGAAATTATGAATTTTGTTAAATTAACTGCCGTTAATGAACTATTAGCATTCTTGTGTGAAGAATTAAGAAGTGTTATAATGTAACTGTATGCATCCAGAAACTTATTCATAATTAGACAAAGGGTGTTATCCTAACTAAGTGAATTTCATGAAATTTCCTAGTAAGTGTCTGTTAAATTGTGTTAGAACCAGTTAACGATCAAAACCCTAACCTGATCAGTGAATTCACAAACAATAAAACAAATTTACAGCATGTGTAGCGTCGGTCGAAAATTAGTAATTTTTCCAATTAGAAAGCCGCAAGAATTAGCTGCGCGTATTGGGGAAAACTGTGACGTCATCGTTACGATTAATTTTCATTAAATAAAGGCTTCCTCCCTTTTATTAACCACCAAACCAAGTAGTTTAACCTAGCTAACTTACAGCGTCGCTTTCACCATGGTTACACAACAAATCATATCCACTATTACCGCCCTCCAACCAAAACACCTCTCAGCGAGCCACCAACCACCTACCAAGCGCCAACGTGCACGTGGTTGCCCATGTTTAACGACTTTTTTGATTGAATCTCCTTCTCAAGTTCAACTTATTCAAATGTGATTTCGCGCCGCTGTTAATTAATTTCATCGGAAAAATTTGATTCAAATTCGGTCACCACAAGATTGTTCAGATAAAGCACGTGCTAGGAGATTTTATGAGATTGACTTAGTCAGGACTCATCCTTTGTTTATCAAGTTATAAATAAGGTTTCTGGATGCTAATACGTTAGTGTTACATTATAACACTTCTTGATTCCTCACACAATACTGCTAATAGTTCATTACGGCAGTTAAATCAACCTAGCGTTGTACCACTCTGGAAAGCGCGGTAGAATTGATAATATCGTGCACTGAGAGACGAGGGGATTAATTTTTTCTCCTTAGGCAGTTGTCATATGGACATCACATCATCGAGACGTATTTCTCACGACGAGGGAATTTACACCACCGAGAAGTAATTCTCATGTGCTTGTTTGGGATAAGCTGGGGACAGTTTACGATATAAACTTTAAAGGCTAATTGTTTTAAGTAACCAGTCATTTGAATGCGGCATAATTTAACATAATATAAATTCTTTGTTTGAATCGTTGATGAAATGTGGTGAATGTAATTTTGTTAGTTTTATTGGAATTTCTCACCTCATGCAATTTTTCTCAATCTCACAATTTTAGCCCCAGTAATTTTCTTTGATGTATAATTTAAATTGAACGTAAATTCTCATGCTCTGGAGTTCCCAACCTCACTTAATTTTTTTGTCTGCACAAGTTTTACTTCACACCAGAACTTTTGTTTTTATAAATCTTTGCTAGTTACATCTACCACATAAATATTTTGTTGATTAATGCTTCCATCATATAAACTGTCTGACGTCCAATCTTAATCTCAAATAAGAATTTTTTGTTGTTCAAAACTTCACATATACTGTGACTTCACGAAAGTGTATGGCGAAAAAATCTGCAAAAAAGACGCAGATCTTGAATTGAAGTCAGGGAAGCGGTCGGTATGACGTGCGCTCGCGGCTTGTCTCAATAGACGTTTCTTCGTGATAGAGGAGTGCTTGCCGATAGAGTAGAATCACCGTCGTGGTGGGAGAACAGCCACAACCAGGAGCCCCGAACTCCGCTCGTGCTGCAACGTCACTTATGGGTAATTTTGCTGTGCTCTAGAATAAAATTGATATAGTTGGATCGCTATACTCTTATAGCGCTCTGGTGCCGCTGTCGCTGTGCATAGTTTTTGTTTTATTAAAATTTTGTTCTTTTGTTGACTGACATAATTTTAAATTAACCGCCACACGTCCGTAATAACTTGTGTATTTGAATCCAGTTATTTTAATTTAGATTTTGCTTTGTTTTTATTAAATTTGTGATAATCAGATATTTGCATTGATTCAGAACGTTTACTTTGATTTCATTCCAAGTTAGACAAGTTTTTTTTTTTGTAGGTGAGAACTAAGGAGGAATAAATGAATAAATGATTTTGTGTCCTCCATATATTTTGTGTTTTATTTAGCGGTACCTTTCTAACGCGTTCTGCCACAAAAAAAACAAACACAATGTAGGGTTCTATCTGGTTCTATTTTGTTAGACGATCACAGCCAAGGCCAAATTTTTGAATTTTTAAAATTTTCGCGGGCTTTTCAAATTTTTTTCACATGTCAATTTATTTAAGGCGGGATGTTTGGGTTATCACAGAATGTTCAGCAGGTACAAAATTTGAGGGTCACTTGACCTACTTATTCCTTGTCTACAGTACTAATGTAAACACGTCTTAAAAGTAAGGGTAAGTTAAGTTTAGTTTGTAATTACACCGCACTCATGCGTTTCATAGTTGCCGTTTTATGAAATTTCATAAAACGGCAACTATTTAAATAAAAATTAATTCTAGTCGACTCCACAGTTCTAATCTCTAACAATTTTGGTTTTATTGTTTGTAAGTAAATTCACAATTCATGTTAAGCTTTTTAACTGTTCAGCTTATGTCCAGGCAGTAAAAAATGAATTCCATTCGACGCCAAAGTCCCACTCACCAAGTACAGTAGCGGTCATTTCTACGGAACCACTCGATAAAAAGTCAAGTTGGTAGCCCTGTCATCTAGTACTTTACGCCGAACGCGGTTGGTAGCGGTAGTTGATATGGCAATCGAAACTAGCACAACACGAATGTTTCGGTTGCCCTCAGTTATGCCGCACTGTATCCCGTGCAGACTGTATCGTCACCTTAGAACTGGTTTGCCGCATATCCAGATCGCGTCCGAGGGATTTTCGCCTCTACTGTTTGGTGCAGATTTGCCGCATGTCGCACTTGGGCGAAGCGAAACATAGTTTAGTTTCAGTGTTGATTTGCCGCATGTCCAAGCAGAAATCGATAGAGTACCGTTATCCGTTTTTACGTACCTACTTCCTTGCTGTTTTGCTTTTCAGCGTTAGGTTTGGGGTTGGGAAAGAAATCGTATTCAACTTCACGCGCAGAACAATAAGAATAATGTGAAATAAATAAAAAAGAGACTTAACAATTTTGATGAGTCTGAAATTAAAAAAAAGCAACTGTAATTTGTGCAACTCTTTTTCTGTTGTTATAGATGTTACAAATATTTTCGATTTTTTTTTTTTAAGAAAGATTGAGTTTCAAATTATTAGATTCGAAATTTTACAAAGTTAAATTTCAAATAGATTTGTTGCTAGTAAACAAATAATTTAATTTTTTACTTAAGAGTAACATTTTTATTTAATGATTTCTCGGAAATGATTGAACTTATTTTCTCTAAAATTTTAGTCAACAAAATTCATAATACTGCATACCTGTATTTTTATTTGTGGAAATGATATTTCCACATCAATAATAATTACAGATAATAATAGATACATTTTTCAGAGATAATTAAGATTAAGATTTGTTAATCAACTTCACGCGCAGAACAAGTAATACGGCAAGGATTAATAATGTGAAATAAATGAAAAATTGAAACGATATTAGAAATCGCGTGATGAAGTAGTTAACTAAGTATAACGAACAATGAATGTTAAGTTATTGTTGTTTTGATTCGATTTTTTCTAAATATTTTTAAAATAAAGAGACTTATTTTTCTTTATTTTTATATAAAATCTACATTTGATAAAACTCATTGCAGTCATTCATTTTACCTAAAAATTGTAGAATCCAAATATTGCATTGTTAATTTCCATTGTTAAATGGTGAATTGTGAACGAAATACGGAGTACCAAATTTAAATGTGTTTTACAGAAAGAAATTATTTTTACAAAGGATAATAAAATGATATTTTCTTTGCATTGGCGGAGTAATGGCGGCTCGTTAACTCGCTGCAGTCCTACTAAAATTGCAGCTTAATATATAATTTTTTTATATAAAATATTCAAATTCATAAAGAACACTCGGGTAAAAATAGGTTGTTGTCTCAAACAATTACATTCCAGTATTTTATTACATTACGTGGATATTGACTACAAGTAGCTATTGTCGGGCAACCAGAGAAAATTAGCAATGATACTGTTTAAAACTGTAATGCAGTATATTTGGATTTGGAAATAAATCATTCGTTTCCATGTCTTATGTATCAATGACAATTATGTTGACTGCAACCCAAATCTATTTGATTACCCCTAACTCCGTAATATCTAGTACTTAATATAGTTATACGCTTTTCAGTTGAAAATGAAAGAATTATTTGTACTGGTAGTTGTAAACAATTGTATAAATATTTCCGTTGGATTCCTTTGCGAACTCTTTGTAAATTATTATTTATGATACTATGGTAGAGCGGCCGTCAGAACGAAAGGTGACATGGGCGGAGCTTAAGATGCGCGCCTATCCATTACCAGTGGCGTAACCGACGTGTATCAAAAAGGTCATTAAAATAATAAATGCTCTGAGGAACTTATTAAACAAAATTCTTAATACCATTAAATACAAAGTGGCCAAATACTTAAATAATAATTTAAAAAAACAGAGAATAAAATTAAATAGAAACTTAATCTCAGTTGTACTCATCATCATCTAAAGGTGTCACACCCAAATCATCGGTATGTGTTTTTGATGTAGAAGGTTGCTGGGAATATGTATAAAAGTCTTCTTCATCGGAAGTTTCCCCAAAACTTTCATCAGAGGACCCTGTGTTAACCATAAATTCAAATTCTTCTAAAGCCTCATCCAACATTCTCTCTCTAATTATATAGTCATCTTCGGTCTTTGCCACATGACTACAAATAGCCGCCCAATTATCTGGCGTAATTTCTGCAAAACGTTTTCTTGCCAAAGTTTCAACATCTTTTAATTTAAAAGTAGTATTTTGCCCAGCAACCCAGTTTTTTACATTTGCCCATATCTTCTCAATGGGATTCAGTTCTGGGTGATATGGTGGTAGTCTTAACACTTGGTGACCGTGTTGTGCCATTAATAAATCTAATTTATACACGCGATGTTTACTTTTATATTCTTTTATAACTTGGTAAAGTTCTGGCTTAGTAAGATTCGGATCTACTGGAATTTCTTTTTCCTCTAACCATAAAAGCATATTTGCTTTTCTTGTAGCCGACGTTGCTTCTTGTATGTCCCTAATATTGTGATAAGACGCGTTATCTACCACCAAAACTGAATTATCTTGAAGATTTGGGATTAATTGGTTCTGTAGCCACGTTTGAAAATTTTCCCAGTTCATTTCATCATGGTAGTCTCCAGACTTGCTTCCTATATAATCATAATAAAAATATTAAATAATATACCAGTAGTATATGACAAGCAAGAAATTTACCAGACGTAAATATCAAGAGTCCATTCGTTACAAAGCCAGATTCGTTTCCTGCATGAACAATAATGAGTCGTTTTCCTTTGGCAATTGGTTTGCGAATTAATTTATCACTACCATCTGTCCATTCATAGGGGGTTGTATGCGATGCATGAATATAAGTTTCGTCGGTGTATACAATGTTTCTGCCTTCAGCACGATACTGCATAAGTTTTTTTAAATACTCAATCCGTAGCAATCGCACGTCGTGTCTTTCCATCAAAATTTTTTTATTATCCTTAGTTTTTTTCCATCTTCAATATATATTTTTATTGTATAAAGTATTTATTAAGAAATAAATTACTTACTGAAACCCCATACGCATAAGTAATCTTTTAAGTGATGATTCACTACCATTGAATGGAAGACCAGATTCTTTAATTTTTTGTAAAAAAGCTAAAAATTAGTAGTAATAATAATTTTTCAAAACATGTTGTAATAACCCAAACCTCCCGCCTTTTATTTGGCATTGAACAAAATTTGAAAAAGCCCGCTAAAGTTTAAAATTTGACCTTGGCTGTGATCGTCTACAAAAGTGGGACCCTACATTGTGTTTTGAAAACTGGCGGGAGGCGTTCGTTCATACAAATTGGCGCACTGCGGAGCGGGAAGAGTGACGGATTTAAAAAACTTATATTTGGAAAAAAAAACTATGAAAAATAAATCCAATAAGAGCTCAAGAGACCTTGGCCAAGGGCCCCAGAAGAGCTTAAAGAATTTATTCCTCAGAGAAAAAAAAACCTTTATTTTCACTCGAACCTGAGAACATAGAATAAAGATTAACAACCTTACAAGTACAACAATAAACAAAATTAAAAGGTCGCGGAATCCTCGGAAAGATAAATGGATGGCAACGTTCCAGATATTATGGCAGTGTGGCCTCTACAAACAAAATGGGGGGCGCACAGCGAACGCAGGGCGAAGGCCATACTCCCCGTTAGGGCCCACGAGGTTCTCCTGCTTCACCACTTCACGCGCGTGGTCTTACGCACCCACCTGACATAGGTTGACCTTCCTGCCCCCGCCGATAAGGCAGCTGTGTAAACTCCGAATCAGCCAGGGTCGGAAGTCTGGCAAGAGCCGTAACCACCCGCACGGAGTCGCCGACGCCACCGCGGTCATCCCACACGACCCCCGAGTTACATAGCGCTATCAAATTGAGTATTTGGATTTCCGACAAGCAATAAGCAAAATTTAATTGGCCACACTCCATCAATACTTGTTTTAAATACAAAGAAATTTAAATGAGGTTAAATTATGCACGTGTGATCAACAATCTTATACAATAAAGAAAATGAAGTGAGAAATTATTCATGTTTTTATCAATAACTTTAAAGAACAAGAATTTTGAAAGAGGTTAAATTATTCACATTTTGGGCAATGATTTTAATGAAATATTTATCTGACATTAAACGAGTTACGACTGCATTAAAATGATCTGGGCAAAGTTACGTTGTTGACCGAATTAAACAACAACAAACAAACTCCTCAACACATCCCCAAACAAAATACCCATGAAAAAAAAACATACCAAATAGACAAACAACAGATAAAATACGACACATAAAATATGTAATATAAAATATAGGCAACCATGGGTGCACATTCGATTTGGATTATGCCTTTCTGTCAAAAACATTCATTTTCAAATTCATCAACAAAGCTTTCGGTCAACAACAAATCCCCAATGACTAATACAAAAGCTCACAAAGGACGCCCTTGAAATTTCCCGGTCAACACCCCGCACCCCCACCCTAACACTTTCTCTTTCTATTTTTAACGGTTGAATATTTGAAAAACTACATGAAATTTTCCAACATTAGAGTTTACAACAAACGAATAATAAATCGAGGAAAAGCCATTCAAATATCTTAGATCTTATAATGTCAGCCAAATTGATGAGCCTAATTAATTGATGTTACTAACACCAAGAAAATCCCCCGTCCCCCCAGACTATGATATTATTAATTTTCTGATGCCGTTCTCAACGTTATTTTTGTTAAGGATTCACTTGTTCAGATTACGTTTGAATTTACTTTACTCACACGTGCTCAAATTATGCAACGCAAAATAATATCTCGAAAATTGCCATCCAACTTTCCGTATAACATTCGCTAAAATAAAACTGCCCTAGCTAACGTAATTCCCTGAAAGGCCCTACTAAAACGGATTGAAATCATATTGAAAGATTAGTACGAAAATTAACGGCCATGGCGTCATCCGGAAGTACCGCCATTTTTGTAGCGTCCGTTCGCGTATGTGACGCCCGCGAAGCTCACAGGTGTGGTTCCCGCGTCTCACCTACTCCGTAACCATCGAGAAGCAACGCCGCTTCTTCCATCAGCACACACGGAATCACGTGGAAAACATACCTCTTGGATCTCCAAACCAAACACGTGTTCACCACCGAAATAGGCCTCTCTCTGTTCGAAATCGAGCAGAGAAATCTTACGTTCGCTGGTTCGTCAGGGGGATGGAACTCCGTTGAAAGGAATCACCGCTGAAAACGGAAACAAAACGCACAGACACTTGGAAAACGCAGAGAGCACCAACTTGACGTCTTACTCGAAAGCAAGACGAAGTCAATATGGCCGCAACTTACCCTTCTCCAGCACGACCCTTCTGCGCACCTCCCTCTTAGTGGTTTTTGTTTCTTTCCATTTCTATCCCTTTTCTTACCAAAAGTTTGGCGCGCGGAAATTTGGTTCGAAACGGCTTACTACAGACGTCCCCCAGCGTCTTCGGAGTGGAGTATCAGCGCAACGAGCGGAGACGCTTACTTAAATGGTAGGCCGTTGAGATTCGGATGCGTCCCCTCGTTTCTTGTGTACCTGTTGGTAGGAAGCGGCAGAGTCACTGGCGGCTAGAATACAGCTTGAGGTTAGTGATGTTATATCGGCCTTTGGTGGAGTCTGAGACGGGATCTCTCAAGGTATAAACATTTGGATGTGGTCTGTCTGAAACGACATATGGCCCAGAATACAAGAGGGAAAATTTGGCATAAATTTTGTTGGCCACATCCGAAATCGGGTTTTCCCTTAGCAGGACAAAGTCGCCCACTTGGAACACGTCGCAGCGATTTTTCTGGGAATTTTTTCGTTGGTTTGCGGCACGGCGGAGGTTTGAAAGTGCCTCGATGCGGATTTGTTGCAGGGGTTTTGCCGCGACGGCTGGGAGCAGAGGCTGGATGAGATTTGTTAAGGGGTTTGGTGGATTTTTGCCTGAGATTATCTCATAGGGTGAGAAGCCAGTGCTGAGGTGAGGTGTCACGTTGAAGAGCAACTCGATATTGGGAAGGATTGCATGCCAGTTTGCATGAGAGTCATGGCAATAGGCACGGAACAGGCGGCTGAGTTCTTTCATGACACGCTCGGTGGGATTGGATTGTGGATGGCGGATGGAGGAGAGAGTGGGTTGTATACCCCACTCTTGGAGTGTTTCTTGCCAGTGTTTGGACTGGAACTGAGTCCCATGATCACTGAGGACAACCTTGATTGGAAGCGTGCGGTGGAAATCTTCGACGATTTTCTTGGCGGAAATTTTTGCCTGAGCGCGGCGGAGCGGATAAAGCTTGACAAACTTGGAGAAAGCATCAATGACCACGAAAATGTAGGCGACCCTAGAACGACTTTGCGGGAGGGGCCCGTAATAGTCGACGGTGACAAGGTCGCCAGGCTTCTCGGCAATCACAGAGTGCATCTCTCCGGAAAGTGCTCTATTCGGAAACTTGGATTTTTGGCAGAGGTCACAAGACTTAACGATTCTCTCGATTCGAACTCGCATTTTTGGGAAAAAGAAATATCGGCGGATCAGAGAGAAAATCTTGGAGACACCAAAATGACCATATTGTTCATGGAAGGTCTGGATTACGTCATCGACTAAAGCCTCAGGGAGTGGTAGCCTCGGCTGGCCGTCAGATGGGTGGAAAAAAATGAGCAAATCTTGGTGGATCTTCATGGACTGAAAGAAGCGATTTTCCCGAAGATGGGTTTTCCCTTGAAGTCTGGCTCGAAACAATGGCCCTAGAAATGCGTCCTCCAGTTGGAGAGATCTCAGATTTCGAAAATGTTTCGTGAGGTCTTTCAGACCCGAAGTGGTGAAGAGGGCTGAAATTATTTCGATCTCGTTCACAGAAACAGTGGCGACAACCGGAGAGTTATGGGAGCGAACAGGAACGCCACTACTTTCGTAGGGATACCTCGAAAGTGCATCGGCGACGACATTTTGTTTTCCTGGAATGTGTTCGACTTCGTAGTCGAACTCATTGAGAAGCAATGACCAGCGAGTGAGGCGATCGTTCAACAACCTGCACTGCTTCAGAAATTTGAGAGCATAATGATCAGTGCGGATGACTAATCTATGCCCAAGAAGAATAGTTCGATACTTCTGCAATCCGAAGATGATCGCCAGAAGCTCTTTTTCGGTGACGGTGTACAACAATTCCGGACCTCGCAACAGTCTGCTTGCGAAGCCAACGACACCGTGTTCACCGTCCTCCAGGAGTTGGTACAACTCAACACCCAGAGCTACACCGGAACCGTCAGTTTGAAGATAGAAAACTTTCTTGAAATCGGGAAATTTCAGCATGACCGTGTCGAGGAAAAGCTGTTTGGTTTGATCGAAAGCTTCTTGTTCAGTGGTGGACCAAATCCAACGAACGCCCTTTCGAAGCAAGCGAGTGAGTGGGGCGATGCAGTCACTGTAGCGATCGCTAAACCGCCGATAGTAAC